AACTGTGGACCAAAGTCATCCTTATTCAAATACCATAGATGAATTTAGTCTACTACTAATGAGAGGTCATATCTTTTAACGTTTGCCTCTTGGACTGTCATATAAGTGTAGGAAAAATTCTTGAATTAAATAGGAAAACATAGCTGCTTATGCATTGCTCTTTAGAGGCCTATAAAACCATGTAAAATATCAGGAAGTGTTCATTATTATTCAAGATACACAATCATTGCTAAACAGCATATGAAATAATTGGTTTAATATTTTCCATATGTAACAGAATAACTGTTATACAATAGAAGGGTTTGCCACAAGAAAATACAGGGCAACTGTATGAAAAATGCGAGTCAAAGCTTTTATTTAATTTTGTTTGTTTGTTTGTTTTTATTCGTGGGCCAAAATCATATCTTTGTATATGAACTTTTGTGTGATTTATTGCTTGATAGTGTGTTACTTTCTGATCAAATGTTACGTGGTAGCATCTTATTAGCATAAGGGTTGCAGGATGTTAGGAACCAAGCTAGAGATGGCCTTTAAAATACAGGACAAGTAGTCTCTCCATGCAATAACAATGGATAAATTTTTGAGTCTACTGTTTATAATAATATCAAGTTGGGCTCATCAAATATTTTCTGCCAAAACCGTTTTTTGATAGGAAAATTGGGGTTTTTGATTAAATGAACTTTTAAGGGGAAAGTGTCTGCTTTCTCTGGCTTGTTTTTTAATCAAAAAACTGTACTCCCCAAAATGGAAGTTTTCAGTTCTTGGATGAAAACTAAAGTACGTAGCCGAAACTGAAAGGCACGCAAACTACAGCTCCCATGAGGCTCTGAAGCAGCATAGGTTTTTCGACAAAATATTTTGATTTTTGAGTTTTCATCAAAAAGTCAAAACATTCCATGAAAATAAATCCTATTTTCTGACCAGCTCAAATATAAAGTACTTTGTCCAGTGTCAGAAGGATTTTATTTCTTAAACGCTGTGGAAGGCTTGCTGTTTTCAAGAAAGGGCCTGAAGAAAAGGAAGAGGGAACTAAATACTTGAATCTGTAGTTATGTTCTTAGTCTTCCTAATTCTGCTTTTTGTGGACTATGCTGACGGTGTCTTAGAAAATACTCTGCTTCTGTGAATGCAGTACTCTAGTGGGTAACCCAAAATAAGGTAGATCAGAGAGAGGGAATTTTGAAAGGTGTCTTTCTTTAAAAGGATTTTTTTTTTCTGAAATTGATGCTTTGTTTGATTGAACATAGAGGAGAACTACAGTCTGTAGGGTGGGTTGGATTGTTTTCTGAAGCAATTTGCCCATCCCTATTTTGAATATATAGTGATATAATTATATATCTTGAAGGACCTTCCATCCCTTCTTTCTTTGGACAAACTGTCTGATACCGACACCAAGAGCAGCTGATGAGTATACAAAGGGTGTCTGCATGTCTAATTCCTTCCTGACAAATTAGCCACATGTAATTTCCTTTGGGTTTAGCAGGTGGGGAGTGGATTGAATCTACCCACACCAAGATTGAAATAGCAATTTTCACTAAAGTGAGAATTTTATGGGAAAAGGGTCAGAAATTCTGCACCAAATGAGGAACTGGCAAAGCCCAGAACTCATCAAATTAGGTTTTGAGTGTGAACATACTCACATTACTGGCTAGGAGAATGAGATTTGAATTAAAGTTAGTTACCTCTAGTCTGCCTAAAATCCATACCATGCAGAATCCATGGCGATAGCATTAGAAACTTCTTTAATTCCTGATTCAAGTGCATTTCTCTCTAGAGGAAACAAACCTAGAAATTGGTACAGAGTGTACTTTAACTCCTAATCAAATTATCCATAGACAGCCAGGATTTTCATTCTGACTTTACCATGCCCAGTTAGCTGTCCAGCTGGTCTTACTATAAGTGGACACAGTACGTGTTAATACATGAAAGGACCTGATCTTTTTCTGTTGACTCGTTCACTTCTCTTCGGTGTATTATACAGCAACAGGGAGGGTCAATGGTAAAGCTCCCACTGACTTCAACAGAGCCAGGATTTCATCCTGATACTTTAAGATGGGGTGTTTGAACTGGCAATACATTTTCTCTCTGTCATTTAGACACTTCACCAACATACTGTTTTGAATTCCTATGGTCTGGCTTTTGCTGCAAAATGGCTGGCAGTAGCCCCTGAAGTTCTCACAGTCGTGAAAAGCTTCTTTCACAATTAAATTAAAAAACAAAGAGAACAAAAAAAAGTGCCACCGTGGCTAAACAACAAAGTAAAAGAAGCAGTGAGAGACAAAGAGGCATCCTTTAACAAGTGGAAATTAAATCCTAGTGAGGAAAATAGAAAGGAGCATAAACTCTGGCAAGTGAAGTGTAAAAATATAATTAGGAAGGCCAAAAATAATTTGAAGACCAGCTAGCCAAAGACTCAAAAAGTAATAGCAAAAAATTGTTTAAGTACATCAGAGGCAGGAAGCCTGCTAAACAACTAGTGGGGCCACTGGACGATTGAGATGCTAAAGGAGCACTCAAGGACGATAAGGCCATTGCAGAGACACTAAATAAATTCTTTGCATCAGTCTTCCCAGCTGAGGATGTGAGGGAAATTTCCACACCTGAGCCATTCTTTTTGGGTGACAAATCTGAGAAACTGTCACAGATTGTGTCATTAGAGGAGGTTTTGGAACAAATTGATGAACTAAACAGTAATAAGATACCGGGACCAGATGGTATTTACCCAAGAGTTCTGAAGGAACTCAGATGTGAAATTGCAGTGTACTGTGTAACCTAATAATTTAAATCAGCTTCTGTACCCAATGATGGGAGGATAGCTAATGTGATGCCAATTGTAAAAAGGGCTCCAGAAGTGATCCTGGCAATTACAGGTCAGTAAGCCTGACTTCAGTACTGGGCAAACTGGTTGAAACTATAGTAAAGAACAAAATTGTCATACTCATAATTTGTTGGGGAAGAGTCAACATGGTTTTTGTAAGGGCAAATCATGCCTCACGAATCTACTAGAATTCTTTGAGGGGGTCAACAAGCATGTGGACAAGGGGAATTCAGTGGATATAGTGTACTTAGATTTTCAGAAAGCCTTTGACAAGGTCCTTCACCAAAGGCTCTTAAGCAAAATAAGCTGTCATGGGATAAGAGGGAAGGTCCTCTCATGGACTGATAACTGGTTAAAAGATAGGAAACAAAGGGTAGGAATAAATGGTCAGTTTTCAGAATGGAGAGAGGTAAATAGTGGTGTCCCCCAGGGGTCTGTGCTGGGACCAGTGCTATTCAACATATTCATAAATGATCTGGAAAAAGGGGTAAACACTGAGGTGGCAAAATTTTCAGATAATACAAAACTACTCAAGATAGTTAAGTCCCAAGCAGACTGTGAAGAGCTACAAAAGGATCTCACAAACCTCTTGGGTGACTGGGTAACAAAATGGCAGATGAAATTCAATGTTGATAAATGCAAAGTAATGCACATTGGAAAACATAATCCCAACTATACATATAAAATGATGGGGTCTAAATTAGCTGCCACAACTCAAGAAAGATATTTTGGAGTCATTGTCGCTAGTTCTCTGAAAACATCCACTCAATGTGCAGCAGCAGTTTAAAAAGCAAACAAAATATTGGGAATCATTAAGAAAGGGATAGATAATAGGACAGAAAATATCATATTGCCTCTATATAAATCCATGGTACGCCCACATCTTGAATACTATGTGTGGATGTGGTCACCCCATCTCAAAAAAGATTTATTGGAATTGGAAAAAGTTCAGAAAAGGGGAACAAAAATGATTAGGGGTATGGAATGGCTGCCATATGAGGAGAGATTAATAAGACTGGGACTTTTCAGCTTGGAAAAGAGATGACTAATCATGACTGGTGTGGAGAAAATAAATAAGGAAGTGTTATTTACTTCTTTTCATAACACAAGAATCAGGGGTCACCAAATGAAATTAATAGGCAGCAGGTTTAAAAAAAATAAAAGGAAATATTTCTTCACACAATGCACAGTCAACCTGTGGAACTCCTTGCCAGAGGATGTTGTGAAGACCAAGGGTTCAAAAAAGAACTAGATAAATTCATGGAGGATAGGTCCATCAATGGCTATTAGCCCGGATGGGCAGGGTTGGTGTCCCTAGCCTCTGTTTGCCAGAAGCTGGGAATGGGCAACATGGGATGGATCACTTGATGATTACCTGCTCTGTTCATTCCCTCTGAGACACCTGGCTTTGGCCACTGTCGGAAGACAGGATACTAGCTAGATGGACCTTTGGTCTGACCCAGTATTGCCGTTCTTATGTAAAAACTAAGCTGAGTTTTTAGCTTGAATCTACCTCTCCTCCTAAAGAAAAATTCCACTTATGGACATTTCCTGGTTCTGCCATTGACATGCTGTGTGTCCTTGAGCACTTTACTGATCTGGGCCTCTGTTTCCCCTCCACCCTTTGTCTGCCTTGTCCATTTAGATGTAAATTCTTCAGGCTCGGGTCTGTCTCTTAATATTTTTTGTACACTGCTTAGCACAATGAGCCCTCCCCCTCAGGTGGGGCCTCTGGGCACCACTCTAATACAAACAACAAACAACAACAACAACAACAACAACAACAACAATAATAATAATAATAATAATAATTAATAATTAATGCCCAAAAGTTGTAATACAAATATTTCAAAGCACTGTAAAAGGTGGGTAAATGTTATTATCCCCATTTGGGGGGAACTGAGGCAGAAAGACGTGACATGACTTGCCCAGAGACAGAAGTCGGAATAGTACTAAACACCAGCCCATGCTGCTTGAATACTCCTTTGAGGAAAGTTCATCTCAGACATTTAATGCGGTAACTAATAATAGCTGAGATGTGTTATGTCCAGCATACCAGATATATTAGACGACACTCGGATAAAACAGAACGAAAAGGGGAGTTTATTAACATTTTACAAGTTCCCTCATTCTGCATTCTGTTTTGCTTTGTTGGCCTGTTTTCATGCAGACTCATTGAAATATTTGTGTTTTCCAGAATGCCAAAGCCAGCTATGACTTCAGCAGTAACGATCCCTACCCATATCCCCGCTACACAGATGACTGGTTTAACAGGTAATAGAGCTCAGTCAGAAGTCATTACAGGTATTAGGAAATCATAAGGCTCTGCTGATAGTTTCAGTGTCTGTCTCTCCACTAAACGATGTGGTTTTCAGCACAGAAGTTGCTGTGTCGCTATCGTCTGAAGATTAGATATTACTGTTTTCACATTGATTTTTTTTATCTAGTGTGTTCTCCTGGGAACCACTTCTATCACTCTGATCAGCTGAGTTATGGTATATAAAGTGTTTGCTACTCCAGAAAGATGAAGGCATACCTGAAATGTTTGTGTAGGTGATAACTATATAATTTTCTGTCTGTTAACTGAAGAGGTCAGGATACCCAGGTCTGAATTTATGCTTCATAGCAATTTTTTACTGTTCTCCTTTCTCCATCATCATGTCTCACCCACAGCCTTCATGTTATTTTAAAGGGAGCAATATGGAGGCTGGGATTTTATGAGCAGGGGGGAATCTGTCAGGAAAGGAATTTGAGAACAACTTGAAAATACATGTAAAGTTCCCATAAAGACTCGATGTCACAGTTTGCCACAGTGCCCCATGGCCACAGTCCCTAACCTCAGGCTACTGCAGCATCAAACAACAAATATCTCACTGAACACAGCAGGGGGTCAATATGGTCATTTACGAATGAGCCTCAGGGGTAGGACAGGTGATGGAGCAGCCTGTATTCCCTCTTCGCCTTCTTTGGTACCACACCCAGGGGAGATATGCGCAAATCTGGCACTGGAATACATCAGAAGAGGCCTGCCACTCTCCCTGCTGTTACTTCCAAGGTGAGCTTTGCCCTTACTATATACTCAAAGCCTTTAATGGACTTCAAGTTCACTGCCTAGCAGTGGCACCTCCTGCCTTCATAAGGAATTTGAAAACCGGCTGAAGATCCATTCCATAAGTAAGCAGCGTCTGTTTTCTTAGGGTAGTTCAGAAACAAGTTCCATAACACTGTCTCTACTTGGAGAAGGAGCCGTTTCCATGGTTACTGCCTCCCCTGTAGCAGCTCCTGAAGCACTGGGACCTCGAGGACCCCCTTTCCTATTGTCCTGTTGGAACCATCCTTTACCCCATGACAGGAGAGGGCGCTATGCGGATCCCTGCACCTCCTGTGGTGGTGTTTTGTACCTGCACTGGGAATGAAAACATTTCCCATCATTAAATGCAAAGCACACATTGGCTTTTATATCGTCATGTTGAAGCCAAGGTTTTGGCACAGGCAACCCGCTCTCCGTGAATGTCAGCTGGGCAGGGCAATAAGGAGTCAGACATTTCAGCAAAGGTCCTGGTCTATTTTACCCCAGGGTAAATCAGGCTCTTCTGCTGTCCTTTGACTAAATTCTCTTAATCACCCCCCCCCACGCCGCCATATGTAGCATGAGCCCCCCACTATTAAGTCCTTATACTTAGGGCCCTACCAATTTCATGGCCATGAAATATGCATCATGGACAATGAAATCTGGTCTCCCCCCCAACATGAAATCAAATCTTTTGTGTGCTTTTACCCTATACTATACAGATATTGTGGGGGAGACCAACATTTCTCAAATTGGGGGTCCTGACCCAAAAGGGAGTTGCAGGGGGGTTGCAAAGCTATTTTAGGGGGGTCGCAGTATTGCTACCCTTACTTCTGTGCTGCCTTCAGAGATGGGCGGCTGGAGAGTGGCGGCTGTTGGCTGGGCGCCCAGCTCTGAATGCAGCGCCCCGCCAGCAGCAGCGCAGAAGTAAGGGTGGCAATACCATACCATGCCACCCTTCTGCGCCGCTGCTGGCGGTGGCTCTGCCTTCAGAGCTGGATTCCCAGGCAGCAGCTGCCTCTCTCCAGCTGCCCAGCTCTGAAGGCAGCGCCCCCACCAGCAGCAGCGCAGAAGTAAGGGCAGCAGTACTGTGACCCCCTCCACAACTCCTTTTTGGGTCAAGACCCCTACAATTACAACACCGGGAAATTTCAGATTTAAATAGCTGAAATCATGAAACTTATGATTTTTAAAATTCTATGACCAAGAAATTGACCAAAATGGACCGTGGATTTGGTAGGGCCCTACTCATACTTAAACAAGGAAATACACCTCTCGGGGCTCCTCACACAAATTATACTCGCATAAATGTGAAAGGCTGTGCACCAGTTATCAAGAGTTTGAGGCACCTTAGGCCTGGAGCGTTTGTCCTTCTCATTTTCATGCTTTTTGCTCCCTTCCTCTGTCCTGAAAAGCAAGATAAATAAATCCACAAATTCCTCTTTCCAAATCTTTTTTTTAACCCCTTTAAGCAGATGATTCCCAAGTGGACAGTGGATCTCACATAAGCTCTAGGATCATCAGCTGTCATGTCTCCTGCCTTTGTTCATTCGGAATGATGCTACCTGGAAACAGGGGGGACCCTTCCTAATTGCTCCATATTCCTTTGTGGGGTACCAGTCCCCCCAAACCTTTGACAGTCCTACCCCCTCATCTGAGAGGGGCCCACTCTCATCAGGCAGGCTGCCAACCTATGGGCCACTGATGCCAATGATTTTGCCAGGTCAGCCCACATCCCTGGACTGGATGTCTGAGGGGGGAGGGACCTGGGTTGCCATTTTGCCCCACTGTGCTGAGGTTAGCAATTCCCTCTTTCAGTGCCTGAAGGCTGCTGACAAACTCCACCGCGGCATCCCGAGGATGCCTGAAGAGCTCTTGGCAGATTATGGGTGTGAGGCGCAGGCCCAGGGTCACTCACCACTCCTCATCATCTCTGTCCACCTCTGAGGCTTGGACCCTCACTATTCTCAACCTCAGACCCTGAATCCATCCCTTGCACCTCCTGTAGGAGGGGTTCTGAATCCTAACCAGGAAGGACACCTTCTTTTGACTCACCACTATCTGCAAAATGAACTATTCCCGCAGAGGTCTCAGCTCCTGCCCAGCTGCTCCCCTCGACCTGTGACTCTCCTCCTGTGCCTGTGGCAGGCACATTGGTCCTCGACTGATCGCCAGTCCCGCGAAAACTGAATACATCCTGTCCCCTGCTCTGCCTCTTCCCCCAAGGGTCCCGCCTCTGCTCCGCCTCTTCCCTTGAGGTCTCACCCCTGCTCTGCCTCTTTCCTCAAGGCCCTACCCCCCGCTCACTCTTCTCCCTCATCCCCTTTCCTCATTGCTTAATCCTCTCCACCTCCCTCCCCACCCCGCCCTGCCCCCCAGCTGGGCTCCCTCTGCTCTGGGGCTGGGACAGGAGCTGCAGCCCCTGACATGGAGCCTACCCACCCATGAGATGCAGGTAGGAGACAGTGAGTAACCCCTTCCCTTCTGTAACAGCCAAAAGAGGCTCCACATGGCCTCTTCTGGGAACTGGGGAATGCTAGCCAATGAGCATCCCTGTCTCCCAACTGGCCAATGGGTGCCAAAGACTCTCAGGGGGAGGAGCTACTTATTGTGCCTTGGTGAGTGTGTCCCTCCCTTGCCGCTGGGACAGTCCCCCTTTCACCACAGGCCCCATCAATTTCCCCCATCCATTGTTGCGGATGGGTGGCATTTGGTAATTTTTAGGGGCAGTTCCTTAGCTGGTGTAAGAGTCGTACAGGGTTAGCTTTTCCAAGAATGGACTATAAAGGTCCAATTTTGCTCCACTTGCAGTCAGTGATAAAGTGATAAAGTAAATGACTTCAATGCATGCAAGAAGGAACTGCAAAGTGAAATATCATTTTTACATAAAGAAAATATTTCTCTCTGAGTAGTTTAAGTGATTTGTGTAACAGGAAGTGGAGAACTTTTAAAAAACAGGAGCCAGGGGGCTTTTGTTAGCAGGCAGCTGCATGTGCAAAATGTCATTAGGTTTTTAAAAGACTCAGGCAGAGGTGTTCATTCACATGAGCACAGCTGCTTTGCTTGTAAACACAGATACTGTGCCTCTTCTAACTCACGCTGTTTAAGACAGCCAAAAATCTCTGTCACCTTAATTCTAATAAACAGTGGTCTCTGAAACAGTGGCATAGTGAGGAATGGGAATTTGGGAGGGCCCCAACTTATGGTCGATGAGCAATGACCAGACAGCTTGGCTGGGCCCCTTTTTGGCTCCAGCATCCTGGACCCCTTTTCCTATCCCTGCTACCCATTCCCCATCACCTCTTGTGTCATGTCCCGTACCCCACACCACAGAAGCAGCAGCCTCTGCTTCTCTCTGTCACATAGTTGCAGCTGCCTGGCTCTTGACTGCTGTCTCCCTGAGTGCACGGTTCCAGCAATACAGGCTCTTGCAGGGAATCTGTGTTTCCTAAGTTGTGTGCCTCTTCCCTCCCTATTGGGTGGTGGCGGGAGCAGTTACTGACTGAGTTGGAACAGCTGGGGGAGAGAATCAGAGGCTTTCTGTCTCTTTGCCCAGCCCCTGCAGCAATCTGCTGCTGCTGTTACAGGAAAGGGGGTGTGTGTGCGGCGGGGGTATCGCACAAGCTTAGATTTGGGTGTGCCTGGGTGTCGATTGGGAGGGTCATGGCCCACCCATGTTACACCCCTGCACTAAGACCCAGAGGGATGGTGTCTGTGGTGCTGTGTGTAGGGCACTTGCCAGGGAATTAGGAGGACTTGGGTTCTGCTCCCAGTTCTGTCCCTAACCTACTGCTTGATGCTGATCAAGTCACCTCTCTATTTCCCTTCCTACTCTTTCTCTGCCTATTCAGAAGGTGAGGGCTTGAAGGTCTCTTGCTATGTGTATTATACAGAGGAGCTGTGCAAATATTAGCTTTTTCAATTCGCTGGCACTTCCAAAATATTGGATGGGGGGGATTCATTTCAGGTCAAACCAAAAATGAAAACCTTCAAAAAAAATTGGTGACTTGAAATGTAAAAAAATAATTTTAGGTAGAAATAAATGATTTGTTTGACCAAACGAAACATTTCATTTTGATTTTGAGTCTTTTTCAGCACTTTCAAACAAATTAAATAGATTTGAAGGACATTTTGAAACAAAAGGTTGTCGCAAAACAAAAAATCAGAATCTTTAATTTCAAAAATGTTGCGACAAAACATTTCAACTTTTTTGGATTTTTTTTTTTACATGAACCATTCAGCAAAACTGATATAAATTTGCAAAATGTTTTGGGTTTCCAACTCTGCATTTTTCACCAAAAAAAAAAAAAAGAAGAAGAAGAAGAAGGTTTTGGCCAATTTTTTTTGCCTAGCTCTAATATAATGGGGCTCCTTCTCAGGTGGGGCCTTTAAGTGCTACTGTAATATAAATAAATAGTTATGAGACAGCTTGTTTCTACTTATACGGCCCTATAAATATTAACACTTTATATTCTCCATGTTCCCTCCCCCTCTCGCAGATATTAGTTTGTCAAACATATTCAGTACTTCTGAAGAACTTGTTGGTCAGAGTTACAATTACCCTTCGCCTCTATTTATTAAAGGCCACACCTGCAGTTTTCCCTCTCATTTTTTCAGTTAATATAATGAGAACAACATAATGGATAATTGGGGATTTGTATAAACAGATACAGCAGCCTTTTCTATTGCATTAACTACTCCTGAGGGCATTCTGCACCAAAAAATTAAAAATTCTGCGCCAAAAAATTAATTTTT